GTGTGTGTGTGTGTGTGTGTGTGTGTGGTGTGTGGTGTGGGTGTGGGGGGGTTGAAAAATTATATTACCCTGTAGTTTGCCTGAAAATATCATAGCATTTGCAGGCTCAGTTTGTATATTTGTATCATTTTACATATGGCATCAATGTGCAATGTTAACCGCCTTTTACAAAGAAGACTTGAATGAAGAAGGATATCATTTTAATGTTAGGGTTAAGCTTAGTACCAGGTTAGAGACTTGTACACCATTGTTATCAATCTATACATTTCTTCTAGTTTAAGTGTAAGGTTGTGATTAGGGTTTGGGTTATAACTTGACAGGATTGTTGTTCCAGGACCAACAAAACATGCTGACCCAGGAACATGTCTGCATCAAAACGTGCCGGTCAGTCATAAGAATTCAAATCAAATGAAACTTTAAATGTCAGATAAGATAAAAGAGAGTAGCTTGGCATAGAAAGAAGTTTGATTTAATTTCCTACAACTGTTTGGATTTAGAACGGTTTTGCATGGTCCTTACAAACTACAGAGACCATGAAACAGTTATAAATAAGTAAATCCACATTGTTCTTAAGCAGGGCATCTTTCCCACCTTCCCCTATTCATAAGAGCATTTTTCCATTATAACTGATAAGGAGGTAGGGCATAAATGTAAAGTCGTTACCAGCAGTTTATAAAAGATAATCAACGATAGTGAGAACATAGTTATATTAAGTTAAAGATAATGGAAAATGTTCACTTAATTCATCATTACAGTTCCCCTCATCCATACAGAAAGGAAACTAATAACCCTACTAGAGCAACACACATGGAGAAGGACACAGAATATGATCCATTGGGGCTAACAGTTGTAGAAGGGCTCTTTATAGAGGTGAAACATGTGCCCACGTTTCCCACCCTGTCCACAGCTACAAGCTCTACTTCCTGAGAACAACAGGAAGCATTGTAGAAAGCCACAGTCACATTTGTGCCATCCGCACTCATCACATTACTTAAGCTGAGAGAGCCATTGCCACGACTGAGGGACACTCCGGCTATGCCTGTACCGTTACCGTCCGTTAAGTTGGTAGAGAGCTCCCATGATGCTCTGCTGCATTCCACAGGACAATCAGCTTTGATGCTCACTACCTGACAGACAGGGCTAGAGAAATCAGTGACCTTCCAAAAAAAAGAAGGGAAGAAGGAAAAGAAGAGTCAATGAAGGGATAAAATGCTAATACTGTTTGCATGTAAAAACAAAGGCAGAGTGTTGCAGAAAGCTATATATTCTCCTCAGTGGATTGTAAATATTAATAATATATACTCTTGTTTGCAGCTTTCATAACAGTTACCTTATTCATGACAGTGAACCGCAGTGCCACGTAATTTGAGTCACCAGACTCTGAATCTTCTGCTTCAATAGTGAGTGTGACATCCGTCCCTGACTCTGTGTCGGAGGGTGCAGTCAGTGTTACGGTTCCCTGAGCACTTCCCTCTGTCCCTGCGTCCAGAGAACTGGGGAAAGACAGGTTGAAGCTGCGGTCTGCCCGAGCTCGGATAGTGTAGTTGCCGCCTGTAGCATTAGTGACCAATGTAAAGTTGAGAAAGAAAGGGATCCCAGGCTCTATAGTGCTGTTTGGTTGGGCCTGAGAAGAAACATGCTTAATATGATTAGAGATATTATCATTGTATTTTGCATGTCTTATATATATTATTTTCAGAGGTTTTGCAAATTCCATACAAGTCATAATAAGCTCATATAAAAGTTGTGTCAGTGATGACAGAATTTTCATTTTTGGGTGAACTGGCCCTTCAAGCTCACCGTGATAGTAACTCTAGATCCTTGTTGCTGAGTGGGTGACTGTCTCTGGAATCGACTAGGCAAAGATCGAGTTGAGTCATTCAACAGCCCTTTCAGCTGCACCACAAATGCCCACTCTGGGATTCTGTCTATGTTGACCAGGAAGTCTGTCGCACCCAATGCTTTAATGGTTCCACTAACAACATCAGATCCTGAAGCTTCAACTAGAAGCACGTCAGTCAATGTGACTGAATCTCCTCCGGTCACAGAGACAAACAAAGTAGCATTCCGACCTGAGCAATCAGAGAAGCATTTTGTTTGTTTCATTTACATTGATGACACAAAATAAAAATAATAATAAATAATAGTGTTTATACACTCCTGTTCAGAAAGATTTTTTAAAAGAAATTAATACATTTGTTCAGCAAGGATGCATTAAACTGATCAGAAGGGACAATAAACATTCATAATGAACATTCTACTCAAAGAATCCTGAAAAACTTGTATTACTGTTTTGAAAAACAAATATATATTAAGCAGCACAACTGTTTTTAACAATGATAGTAAAAAATATTTCTTGAGCACCAATTTATTGTATTAGAATGATTTCTGAAAGATCACGTTACACGGGAGACTGAAAATTCAGCTGTCATCGTAAATTAAATTTTAAAATAGAAAATAGTTGTTTAAAATTGTAATAATATTTCACTTTTTTACAGTTTTACTGTATTATTGATCGAATAATGCAGCTTTGGTGAGCATAATGTGAATTTTCTCACAAAAATATAAAAAATTCTTACTGACCCCTAACTTTTGAACAGTAGTGTAACTGTTTAGTAATAATCAAGAAATATCAAATGAAGAAGATGGTACATACCAGTGAAAGGACGATTGGCTTTCGGTGTGAAGTCACCCCCTTCTAACCTCTCCACAAAGTTAAAGAGAAAGTTCACAGAACTCTGACCTGTAATCACAATTAAAGCAGAGTGAAAGTAGCTCACTGTGAGATGCAGCAGTGATTGGAATATTCCAAAGGAAAGCATTTGACTGATTTTTTCCCCCCTAAAGCCATTGTTTATTAAGCAGTATAATTTTTTACAATTTTTAAAATAAATATATTAACAAAATCTCAATGGTTTACAAACAAAACATATACCGGCAGATTAAAAACCTGTACCAGTGACTTTCAGGCTGTAGAAGCTTGTAGAGTCGATGCTGATCTTCCATTCTCCTGTCTGGTTGTCAGAGTTGAGTTTCACTCTCTTTAGATTCCCTACAGTCAGGATGCTGCCCAGAGGACCATCTGCCACTGAACCTGACTGAGACACACCTGAAAGGCAGGGGAATCAGCTTATTTTTAACAATGATTTTGGCATCTTGTTTTTCTATTTGACAGAATAAAACCCTCATATCTGCAAACAATGTCCGAGGTGCACTGCTCACCTGTCGGGCTGTAGATGGTGAAGACTGGAGAGTCTCCAGTGACATACACAGTCACATTGGACAGAGAAGGATCTAAGACAAAGGTCAAGTTTTCTGCAATGGCTGGATTTCTTACCAACTGAAAAAGCGTCACCTTCAGGAAACACAGAGATGTTTTCAGTATGTTGCAGTGTTTCACAGCAAAATTCCCAATGACCAAATTGGGAAAAAATATTGCAAATTTTGGGGTACGTACTTCCCCTTCTTCTTAAATTGTTCCTTATTAAATATGTTATAATGAGATTAAATGGAGAGTTGATACACACAAAAAGTCACCATCTATCATTCTTAATACATACCAGGGCTGAGGTAGATGCATCTGTAATGACTGCAGTGGCCTGAGACAGAGTAGCTTTTGTGACCTCAATGGTCTGTCCACCAGAAACATGGGCCAGATCTCTGTACAGCTGTATGTCTGACAGAGGTATTGATCTTGACGTAAAACCTTGAGATTGTGAGATATCCCTTCTTCTACGGAATGAGAAGGGGTTAGTCAACATAAAAGTGACCTGGATTGCGTGGAGAAAGAAAAGATCGAAATGCAGAAAAATGTCATTACATACAATTTAATAACATTTCAGATTTTAGCAGCAATTATGAAGAAGTGATTTGCAGGCATTTACTGTTGTCTTGGTGCGTTCAATCATGGCCCGAACGGTGCTTTTTAATGCCGAGTCCTTTGCTGCAGCATCAGTGAAAACAAAAATGTCTGACGATTGAGGAGCTGCTGCTAGTGCCAACTGGAGGACCATGAGACAAAGAAAAACAAGATCGCAGGACCTGAAGATTATTATAATTTCTCAGGCTGGCTTTATTGTAATATAAAATCTTAACACAGATGAGATATTCACAATAATCATGTCAATAATGTAATCTTATCCAGTATATCAGTTGGAAGAGGAGTGATTTTCTCAGTCTAAAAAAAAGTTTTATAACACTCACCAAAATACATAAATATAAAAACACACAAACACACAGACCAGCAGTCCTGACAGGCACATTTCTGGTAAGTCTCCTCCACCGGATGCTGAAAGAGAATTGATTCTCTCTTTGAAAATATCTGCATCCTCAGTCCTTGTCAGAGGTCCAAAATCTGTTTGAGACAAACACGTCAAAGAAGACTACAGCAACAATGTTGTACATAATTTAAACTTTTTCAAAAATTTAAATATGCTTAAAAAAACATCGCACATGATGAAAGGCACATACATGTTTCTTTAATTTATTCCATAAAAACTAAATCATTAACACATCATTTTTATGTTAAGTTAGATTCAAATCTGAATGAAAGTGGTGATGTCTGAATGGGTGAATAGTAATTAGTTATTTGTAATTAGTCCATCCATTTTCACCAGTTTTATGCATTCAGGCACATTTGTAATGGGCATAATGGGAGGGAATTCACAATGGGACTGTTTATTAGCTAATACAAATGCGTAGTCAATAGAATATTATAGAATAGTTTTATTTTCACATTGTCATCATCCAAATGTTTTGAGGAGGCACTGCTTCTTTTGCTTTTGCTGGAAAAACAACAACAACAATAACCTAGACTATATATAGGACTAAATAAGCAATATGACTACCTGGATCATTAAATGGGACTAGAATGTATTCTGAAGGTTCCTCTGATGTTCCTCTCCTGCTGTCTATGATACTGAAGGACACTCTCTTGGCCTCTTCAATATCATCAAACATGCTACCCGTGGTGTCAATCACAAAAGCCAGAACTGAGGTCTGACTGAGGCCCATCAGTCTGAAAGAAAGAAACAAAACTGGCTAAACCTGGACAACAGTATTAATTTCTGATTCTAGGGGGCGCTATGACTTAAGAAAAACGAATCTTTTGACCTTTGTGTCTCTACATTGCATCAGCAGAATCTTTTTTCTTCAGATTTGGCAACTTTAGGCATTTTTTCCTGATTTTTCCAAACTGTAACAAAATTATTTACAATACTTCATCCTATATAATTCGGTGTTAGGCATGGTGATCAGTAATTTGTGAAATCACACTAGGCTATGTCATTTTAATTTAAATGGACAAACCTTAGTTATTTCTTTCATTACAGAAGAATCCAAAACTATGTGTGGTGTAAAAGGAAGTTCTCATACCGAAGAAAGGCTTGGTCGCCTGTTGCCAGTCGGATGTCTTGCAGCACTTCCATAGTAGCATTGATGGCCATCTCAGCAGCACGGAAGTGAAGGAAGCCGTGATCTGAACTGATGTCATCCTTATTAATGCCTCCAGTGGGTTCTGTTGAACTGGTCCTGTCAAAAAAGCCACCATGGCTACACTTGCCTGAGAGAAAATTATGTGAGTATAGATTTGTGGTGCCTATTCCAGCCATCCTGTGGTCTGTGATGAAGTACAGAGGAGATCAACACTACACATGGGATGATAAGCTTCCCTACCAGCAGGTTTTTTGGAGGAGGTAATGCTGAAATATCCTGAGGTTAGTTTCTTATGCAGCAGTATTTCTGGGAGAATGTTATCACCACAGTTTGGCCCAGTGCAGCTTTTGCATGTAGGTGTGCTGGGGCCTAGATACACAGATAAGAGGTTTAAAAAGTATGCATGTTTACACCATATTCATATTGTGACATACAGGGGGTTTAGAAATGTAGAGTTGGGTAATTGTATTTTGTTGTACCTGCTATATTGTTGAGAGGAAGGTCAGGTTTGATCAACGTGCTGAAAGGAGCAGTGCTTCCCAGTTCCACCCAGTTACTGTGGCTATAGAAATCCTGCACACAAACCAACAACACAGTGTTCACGTTAATTAATGAAAATAATGATTGCATTTTATGAAATTAAATATATTTGTCACCTTACATTCATTTATAATTGCATTTCTTGCACTCTTTATATTCCTTTATTTCAATTTGGGATAAATGTGACAGGCATATTCCGAAGTCTGTGCACCAAACTTTGAGAGAATTGGCCACAAGGAGGCACTATAATAATTGAGTTCTTGTTTTCACTGGCTGTATATGCCCAAGAGTTTGCCCAAGTCTAAAATCTCCAGTAAAATTGTCATCAAAATTTGCAATGGGCTACATGCAAAAGCAAAAAAAAAAAAAAACTTCTGATAAAAAATTATTTTATTAAAAAACGATTAAATGATGATCATTTTATAGTTTTTTTTATTTATTACAAAACAAAAAATATTATTCAAAATTCAAAAAATATTCAGACACTTTGTGGTTGTCAAACATAGTTGAACATGCACATATTTAATTTGCTGTGGTTAAACTACACCTTTGTGAACTTGAGCTGAATTGGCTGAAATGTTAAAACTGTCTCATTGGTTAAAATTCTTCTGAGAATGCTCTATCATCTGTTCGCAGATGCCACTTAGTTTAATATTTTGTTTTCTATGCAATGAAATCTGAACATTTTCATTTAAACAAACAAAACTGTTCAAATACTCTTTGAACAATTTTGGGGATTTGCATTATTCCGGACAAGTTTAAAAACATATAGCCATTTTAAATGACTAAATACATAAAAATAAGAGTGAATCAGGACCTGCATATAAATAGTGCTAGCAATGGGAAGGTCAAGGGTTCAATTCGGAATGCAGAACCTGATAACATGTACACCTTGAATGCAATGTAAGTCATTTGTAAATGTAATGTAAATGTCATGGGTCATTACAAATATAAAATACAAATAGAAATGCTGGTATATGGCCAGCTTGAAAAAAAAAAAAAGATTCTTATGCCCCTCCCTACTACAATCTCCATTCATAACATACCTGTAGAGTGTGACATAGAGCTCCCAGTGCGATACGGGCAGAGATATAGCTTTCCTGCTGCACGCTGGCCTTTACTGCAGCCACACCACGAGTGATGAGATCCCGGCCCTCACTGAAAGCCTCATTATCTATGTGATGTGCCTCACTCAATGCAAAAACTTGATCTACAGCTGCGTTGCTTAGATAAGTTTCTGTTATAGCTGAAATTAAACCGAGGGTAGAGAGGGCAGAAGATGCTGAGCAGGCTTTGTGGACAGCAGATGGAGTCAGCTTGTTGTTTATCTGGAGATGAGGAATGGAAAGAGGAGAATATTATTATTTTTATTTTATTTTATTTTATTTATTGTTTGTTTGTTTTTTTCAACTTGAGTTCCTTTTGCTTTTCAGTTCAGTTTTCAATCCAAATTAAGTGTGTAGCATAACTTGAGGAGACAACTAAAAATTGCTGTTTCAAAATTCACATTTGAGGTATGACTGTAATTTGTTGTAACAAAAAGCGAAAGTCTCTTTAAGGAATGTTAATCACAGACTTTGTTTACTCATAATAATCCATTAATAGTTTGTATGATTCAAAAATGCTAATTCAGTCGGTTCACTCCCATGTTTTTTTCTTACAGGCAGTGTGAAATCGCGCCCCTGGGCAGTGGCTATGTCACGACACACTTCTGCTGTCTTGCGGAGGATGGCCATCTGAGTGATTTCTCGATGGGTGATGGAGTCGTCCTGAAAGAGAGGTTTGAATGCTGCCACCTGGGGGGGTTGAAAGAGGGTCCCACAGAGGAGAAATACAGCCACTACAACCAGTGAAACCATGACTGTCCACAAGAATAGGTGCTGTGGGAAAATTCAGTTTGAAACTTCAATCCTTTACCAGGAATAATAGAAAATAATATAGACAGGAATAAAAATGTAATGTTTGGCTTATGTGGAAAAAAACTCATTTTAAGAAAACTGCTTTAAAATATGGATTATAATTGATCTAAAGATGCTAATAAATAAAGAGCAATAAAATAAACACTTAAAAGTGTATTTTGAATATTTATACTTTATGAAAAGCCAAATAGCCCAAAATCTCAAAACTGACCAATGCAATGTTTTGCCTGTAGTGTCTTTCCTTAAATTTGTAATTATTTAAAACATTATTTTTTAGCAGTTAACATTTTTAATCTTTAACTCGAAAATCCTCACAAAATATTACATATTATACAATTAGACAAATATTATAAACAAAAAAAATTGACAATTGTTTGATTACCTTTTCACAGATTCTGTATGTGTATACTGTAACTTATGCACAACCTCTGTCAGTATATTTATACACCTTTACACACGTGATGAATGTCAGCGTCACACATACTTTGTAATGTAAATTAGGGATTGTAAAAATTATAATTCTCTCTGTAAGTGTCTGACTGTAAGAATGTCAGTAAGGAAGAATATTTACTTCCTTATTAGCTACTATTGTTGATTGTGCCCTTTTCAAATCACGCACATCTTGTGTTTGATCTAACCATAGCAAACTTGACTTGGTTTCCCTGACAACTGACCCATAACAATGCATAACTTACTCTCCCCATAACAAACTTTCCCAGAACTTGGTTCAATATATATTTTTAATAATATTAGTGGTAGATCAAAAATCACAATTGTACACATCGATTTATTCATTCAGTCCTCCCAAACTGTCTAACCTGTATAATTTATAATCACTCATGTGACAGGAGTTCTGTGAAGCCTCTGAGCCAAGGAGAAACTGAATGAGAGTGCAAGCTATTGTAAAAAGCAAAACCAATAGAGCTTACACAATGCTGATGCCCTCTATGTGAACTTTGTCTTTAATAAACGTTCAAAAAGATCAAGAGTATATACTACACAATGAAATCACAACTAGCCAGAAAAACTAGTCCTAAATGCACCTGTTCACATACAACAGAAAGTGAAAGTTACATTTCAAAAGTAAACCTTAACCTTGATTCTTTGATATTTACAAAGCTCTTTTACCCCAGACAGTTCAAGACAAGTAAAGATTTAAAAATACACTGCTTGCAGTGCTAAATGTTATTTAGAAACATACAAAATGGCAAACGATAAAAAAGAAGAAAGAAAGGCACACGGAAAGCGAGTAACATCCACTGAAAATAGCATTTGCTGTTGAGACAGTGAGTTGCAGTGTGACATAATTCAGATCAGTGGATCCCAGAGCTTCTGCCTCAATAGTGAATGTGACATCCGTCCCTGACTCTGTGTCGGAGGGTGCAGTCAGTGTGACACTTCCTTGAGCGCTTCCCCCTGTTTCAAGAATCAGAAAGCTGGGGGAAAACACGCTGAAACCCTGGTCATTCCGAGCTCTGATAGTGTAGTTGCCGCTTGTAGTATTAGTGGCCACTTTAAAGTTGAGACTCAATGGGACTCCAGGCGTGTAATGTTCTGTGATTGGGCCTGTGGAGGAACAGATATGGTGAATGCATGTTATGAATGCATGTTATTTGTCACTACTGGTGGTGGTTGAGGAGATTCCCCCCTTCTATGTAAAGCGCTTTGAATGCCCAGAAAAGCGCTATATAAATGTAAGGAATTATTATTATTATTATTTGTCTTTCACAGTGATGAGTTTTTAAAACTCTCTTTTTGTACCAAACTGTGATGTAAAATTAAGTGTATTTTGTTTAAGAATTGTTATAAATTACAGTTCCCTATAGATACTTCACTCGTACTGCGTCTGCTAAGACGCTATGGGGAAAACTCCTTTTTCTCAGAATACTGAAGCCTTTTCAATAACGCAGTGTTTTTTTATTCACTGCATGAACCAATGGCCGTGCAGTGAATTAAAAAACGAACCAATGGCTTGGCAGCGGAGCAGCGGAGCTGCACAAGCCTATGGCGACAAAGCCCGCCAGAGCCCACCAGAATGGGTGGGACATCTGGCTATATAAGCGGGCACTTCGCCATGGGATCCTCAGATTTCTTCTCCTTCAACGACGACTGCAAAATCTTCGCTCTACGAGACTCGAAGCCTTCGCCGTGAACAAATCTGGCAGCGGATCAAGACCCCTTCCTGCTTGGCTGACTTCGCCACTCTTCAGCCGCCTTCAGCATCTGCAGCAGCTGTGGCCTTCCCGGTCCCCTGCCGCTATCCGGCGATTCCTATAAGAGCACATTTCTGAGCAAATTTCCGGCATTGTTTCAAATGGCGTGCCGTGACTGTCAGCGGTGTGCAGGGGAGCCCACGCTGAAGCTGCACTTACTGAGACGGAATGTCCTCATTGCGAGGATATGAGTCTCGCCTCTCTGCGCTCATGGGTAGCTTTCTTTTCAGAAAGTGACTCCGCCCCTCGTGCCCTCCCGCTTTCTTCCTCCCAGGAGCCTGTGAGGAAAAAGCAGTGGGGCAGAGGATCTCGGCGCTCGGTGACGAGTGAGCACATGCCGGCTGAGCCCCCACGTGCCTCACTCTCTCCACATAGAGAGGCTTCCCCATCCACTTCTCTCACCCAGACCAGCATCCCTCTGCGGCTGGGAGCGATCTGGTCTCGTTCAGTGGGAGCTAGTGTGACGCCATGGATGTCTCTGGCGTGTCTCTGGCTGCTTCAGATGCAGAGGAGCTGTCGGGCTCGTCTTTCGACCCCGCTCCCCTGCCGTCTGCAGAGCCCTGCGCAGCCAGCACGGGCATGGACGCCGAACTGTTCCGCTTCCTGTCTAGAGCTGTGCAAGAGCTGGGTTTGGATTGGTCTCCACCGGAGGAGCCCACCCGCAGCCGCCTGGTCAAGGTAGTGCTGGACCCGGCGCCTCAGGCGTCAACCTGATCTGCGGGACAGGAAGAGGAAGGGGCAAAATCTCGCCATCGCCGGACCACCCCCCCAAGCAGCCTCTGTTGTGCCTCCAAGCACCTCGTTCACTTCCGGGTGCCAATGGCAATGTGTTTGTGGTAAATACTGTTGTTAACCCTAGGCCCGTTCAGTTAGCGCCCACACAACCGATCGCTGTTATAACGAGAAAAATGAAACAGACATTTTCAAAAAGATAGCAAATTTCCTCTTCCGGCTATCACGAGCGTTGGGTCCCCGCAAGGCGGCCTGTCGATAGAACCAACCCAATCCCTTCCCACTCGGGCCGAGGCCTGGCAGGCCATCCCCGGAGTGTCAAAATGGGTTCTGGGGATAATAAAACGAGGCTATTCACTTCAATTCGCTCGAAGACCCCCGTGGGTCTCCACCTCGGTTCAGAGCAAGGACGCAGACGTCCTGCGCGCTAAGGTGATGAATTTGCTGGCGAAAGGAGCCATAGAAACGGTTCCCCCAGCTCAGAGCGAGTCAGGCTTCTACAGCCGATACTTCCTCATCCCCAAAAAGGATGGCGGCCTAAGGCCCATCCTCGAGCTCAGGCACCTGAACCGCGCCCTCATGAGATGGTTGTTCAGGATGATTACTTTGAAGCAGATCCTCTCGCAAGTGTGCCCAGGGGACTGGTTCTTTTCGCTGGGTCTGAAAGATGCCTACTTCCACATCCAGATAGCCCCCCACCACAGACAATTCTTGAGATTCGCCTTCGAGGGAGTGGCATATCAATACACGGTCCTTCCCTTTGGACTGTCCCTAGCTCCTCGCACTACAAGTACTTTTACTCTAACTCACACTACATTTTTTGGAAGGTAATGGTACTTTTACTTGAGTATATTTTTTCAGTACTCTTTCCACCACTGCCTAAATGTCAGTGGAGACCATAACAATTAGATGAGCCCTAGAGATAGATCCCCTGTGAAGACCTCATGAACTAGATGGCCATTGACACAAATCAGCAAAGACCCCGAGAACTAGACGAGTCCTCTGCAGCTTCAGCCCCACCAAACGATGGAATGATGTATCCCAATCATCAAGGAGAAGGAACTGGGTGAATATTCTTAACTATGCCAATCCACAATCTGACTTTCTTTGCAGCCTGGAATTAAACCACACCATGTCGGTTTGTCTGGCCAGAGGAGAACTTGCCCCCCGACTGAGCCTGGTTTCTCCCAAGGTTTTTTTTTCTCCATTCCTGTCACCGATGGAGTTTGGGTTCATTGCCACTGTCGCCTTTTGGCTTGCTTAGTTAGGACGCTTAATATTTGGCGACATTATCGCATTGATTGCACAGACACTATTGGATGAGAACTGAACTGAGATGGATAATGGCATCCATATATCCATATTTTTTTCTGGAACTGCATTATGAACTAAATCAACAATGAACTGATTTTAATTGAAAAAAAAAAATCTGACTTTTTACTATTGTCTTGTTTTTAGAGCTGCTTTACAGTAGAACTTAATTTTGTTTATATCATTGAAACATTATTTTGCTGTTTAACACTTTAAAGCTGCTTTGAACCAATTCGTACTGTATATAGCGCTATATAAACGAAGGTGACTCAAAAGGGGACAATTTATTCCAAGAACAACATAAAACAGCAACAAAGCATTTAAATTAGGATAAGATTAGTTGCATAATGCAAATTTATATTTATGGCAAATTATAAAAGACATCTTATTATAATAGTGATGATAGGAGTTAACATAGTGAGCTCTATGTCAGCAGTGATAGCATCTGTAATGACTGCATTGGCTTGAGACAATGTAGTGTTTGTGAAGTCTATGGTCTGACCACCAGAAACATGGGCCAGATCCCTGTACAGCTGTATATCTGACAGAGACATTAATCTTGATGGAGAGGCATCCTTTTCACTATGCAATAAGGAGCTTGTAAGCAGGAAGTTAACCTGGATGGTGAAAAGAAAGAGAGAGAACATAGTTCAATTTGTTAATGCATTAGATATATAATGAACT